AAAAACTTGAAATACTTAGTCACGCAGGGTGTGTTCTAATTGAATTCTCCCATGTGGAACTTGATTCCAAATTCCTTTACTACCTATTTCTACCATAGATCTGCGACGAGCTGGGGGTGAAGCGGCCAACTTCTGTGAAAGTATTCTCAGGCAAAAGTGAGTAAACTGCTCCTGCTTATGTCCCTTGGTTTATCAATTTGAGACTGTCTAGTTCTGCCCAGGTCAGCTTAAAACCTTTGGTGTTTCTGTTTGCTTTCTAATCAGGTGAACGCAGCTCCTCTGGGCTGCTGGAGTGGGAATCAAAGAGCGATGCCCTTGAGACTTTGGGCTTCCTGAACCATTACCAGATGAAAAACCCAAGTGAGTATCTGTGTGTCCTGCCGTCATCCCCTTGGTGACCTAATGAGTTGCCTGGCATTAAGCCAGAGCCATCCTTCCTGCCCTTGGGGTAGGACCTCAGGGGTTTTTTCTTGTCACTGACATAGACAGGTGGGACCTGGTTGTCAGGAGATCAGCCTAATGTTGTTCATGGGAGGGTCAGCCCAATTGCTTGCTGCCACCACTTTCCCAGCTTTGGAGTTGCTCAGGCTTGCCTTTCAGGGAGGTGGTATTCTCTCTTTGAGGCAGAGACTGGTTTAGGTAATGCCCAGGAAAAAGAGCAGTACTAACTAGCAGGTAAAATTTGCTCACCCAGTTGCTAGAGACAGGTCTGTTGCCCTGGGCCAGCTAAGGAAATAGGAACAGGGAAGGAGAGAAGAGAAGAAATGCTTATTATATTTGGCTCATTTAGATGTCTCGAAATAGGCAATAGTTGAACTTCAGAAAATGGGAGGTGGGTGGGGTGGCCTTCCCAGAGGGGGCCCAGCTAAACTTTCTCTTTTCTCTCCCCTGCAGATGGTCCATACCCTTACACTCTGAAGTTGTGTTTCTCTACTGCTCAGCACGCCTCCTAATTAGGTGCCTAGGAAGAATCTCATCTGAGCAGGAAAACATTTCTCTTTCCTTTATGCTGTTCTGTTTTTTCTTTTTTTTTTTTTTTTTTCTCCAAAAGTTCTTGTATTCCTTTTTTTAATTCTAGGTTAGTAGAAGCTTAACCATAATGGAAACGCTGGAAGTCTGGAGGGGGAGGGAGAGGGGAACTGATATCTCCCAAGATTAACCTTCACTTTTTAAAAAATTATTGTACATGTGATTTTGTTTTTTCCTGTTCATACATTTGTGCTGCCCATGTACTCTTGGCACATTTCAATAAAATTGTTTGGAAAATAAACATAGCGGTTGCTGGGATTCTAGGGCTGATCTGTTCCCCTCTCTCCTATTCAAGTATTCAGGAGAGGTTGGGTAAGCCAGGAGACAACCCCAGGTGCTCAGCAGATGTAAGAAACACTGAGAAGAGCTGGGGGGGCCACAGAATGGTGGTAGGAATTAAGGAGTCCTTTAGAGGAAAATCCAGCAGGCCTAGAGGCATCTTTTTTTTTTATTATTATTTAATAAAAAAAAATTCTATTTAGAAGCATTCAGAATGTCAACAAAACAACTACAACTTTTTTTTTGCAATTATAGTGGTATTCAGTTAATATTACTAACATTTATTAAAAGCTGCATCAGAAATGACTGAAGATGAAAAAACCACCATCCCCATATATAACTAATTGGTGCTATGCACCAACAAGAACCTGCTTTCAATTTCCATGCCAGTTTACAACCCCCATACTGTACCAGGCAAGGGTAGTGGCTACTGAAAATACCACCAGGACAGGGCTATCTAAAGACACATTCCGGAGTGTGTTAACTAAACAAAGACACTACAGTTTAAAAACAAAT